TGTTGTCCTATTCTGTTGGAATAAAGAAGGTATAATGTTGTCCTATTCTGTTGGAATAAAGAAGGTATAATGTTGTCCTATTCTGTTGGAATAAAGAAGGTATAATGTTGTCCTATTCTGTTGGAATAAAGAAGGTATAATGTTGTCCTATTCTGTTGGAATAAAGAAGTATAATGTTGTCCTATTCTGTTGGAATAAAGAAGGTTACCCTTTGTTATATAATTAAAGTTTCTCCTCTTAAAATTGCTGTGTTACTACAAAATGTATATTTTTGTAATCTGTTAGTTTAGGTCACTAAAAAAACTGTTGATGGAGGTCATATATATGCAGCAACACCATTGGCGGTCCCAGGGTTGTTGCCCTAGTTGCCCGGGCAACACCCTTTTTTCTTTGTCTAAAAATAATCTGGACTTAGGTTTTTGAAGATTTTCCTCTTTTTCACATGGGATTTTCTTCTAATATCAACCATCCTGTGAACTATGATTTTCTATGGCAAGCAGCAGTTTGAATATCTATATATACTAAGGGTGCAGTTTCCCAAACAAGGAGTCCACTACTTATACTCTAAACAATAGGGGATTAATCCTCTTTTGTTTATATATTAGTAGGGTCTCCAGTCAGGTCAGTGGTGAAGGCTCAACTGACTGTCTACCTAATCGTATTGTTCTAATGTCACGGTGTGGTGATCATCCTGTCCGTTAAGAGAAGATTAAACCATCTGTTGGAATTAAGTATATATGTTAATTGTTATTTCAAAGGTAGAGTCCATTTCATGATAGATAAACCTGTATTTTCATCTGTGGTTTCATGTACACATGATCACCAGGAGCAATCTGATTAAAATCATATGTTGCATGGCTTCGTTAACTTCGTACTAGGCCTGAGCCATGTAACAGATGATTTTAATCAGATTGCACCAGGAGTGCTTTATTATACCTGTTAAAAAATGTAAATTTCAAAAATTTCAAAGACAATAAAGCATCCACCTTAACAATTTAACGGGAGCGATGTGAAGATATAATTTTAATTAGATTGCCACCTTAGCATCACGTTATCAGGTGAATAATAACCAATGTTAGCATAAAAGCCTGGCATGTATATATATATCCTTTTTAACAGGTGTTGCGGTTGTACATATGCATGCATACAAATTCACAATAAAAGACAAACAGTCAAATCATAAATCGTATTTATGACAAAATAAATCAATATTTAATTGCCAAAAAGCTCGCCTAAACTACATGCACATGAAAGGCATGACACAAACATCAACATTTTAACCAAAAACTTCATTTATACCATTGTTTCAGAGAATTTGTTAACACTCGCTCCGCTCGGCCATCATAAAATATAAATACTCTATGTTATGAAATATAAACTGGAATAATACCTCAATCTCAGAAAACTATTCTATGCCTTATTCGATCTGTTTGACAATGGAAATAATGTCCGATAAATTCTAGCTTTCTACGCTTGGCAGTGCTTGAACAAGTTTAGTATTACATCTTTAGGGGAAAACAATCGCCTCGCTCTGCTCGGCAGGGAAATTATAATTGTCAAAATCTCAGAAATAATGAAGTTCTAAATATTGTTTGGTGCCAGATAGTAGTATACATGTACAACCGACATGACAATTATAATTTATTATTTTTATGAGTTTAAAATTTTGGGCAACACCCAAAATTAATTCCTGGGTCCCCCACTGAACACTGTTTGCAAATATCAAAGGAATCCTCTCTTAAGCAACCCTGTTTTATTTACAGGTCAGGCCTATATAACAATCCTGTCTACACAGTTCACCA